AAAAGCTATACATGAAATGAGCACATTTTTATATTTGTTTTGAGCCTGTTAAACCTTTTTCTCTTATTTTTGAAGGGACAGAGTTGTACAATTTAGGTCCGAAATAAGCAAAGGCTCTCCGACCTACCTCATGGCTGACTTTAGGCACGTGCAACAAATCGTTCTGTCGGGTGCTGCGCTTAGAAACGTCCCGCCGGGCTGGCAGTTTTTCTCTCAAGTAGAGTGGCTTACCTAGGGATAACGTTTTGTGTATGAGAACACAAGTAGAGGCCTTACAAAAAACTTCAATGGGCAGTAATTTCGCATCACTTCTGAATGTACTTACGTGTTCTCTTTTTCTTAAGCCATAAATGAACCTGACTGCTGCATTCTGCGTTCTCTGTATTTTATTACAGTCACCTTTTAATATACTGTTTCCATATGCTGGAAGACAGTATTCAATAGCAGAGAGAACTAGCGACTTGACTATCTGGACCCTAGCGTCCTCAGGCAATAGGTATCTAAGCCTATACAGTCCGCGTAATCTACCCAATGCCTTCTGACACGCATAGGACACATGCTGCGAGAGGGTGAGGTTGTCATCTAATATCACACCAAGTGTTTTTACTTGGCTACATACTGTATTTCAAGGGCATGTCCGGAAAGAGATATCTTACCATAAACTCCAATTTTTAGTGCATTCTGCATTCTGCAAAGTAATAAATAAATGGAGTACTAAACATGATCACATGTTTGTTTGATCATAAATTTCATATTCAACAGAAGTATCTTTACTTGTTCTGTAATGAATAATAGCATAGGTCTGTAGCTGAACACAACTGATTGGATTGAAGAAGTCCCCCAAGTGATGCTGGTACAGCTATAGTAGCCTACGTCACACCCACCTACGTTGATGCAGTCAATACATGAGTTTGTATACTGTACATTACACCCGTGCTATACGTTATACCCAGTGGCGTAAGTACATTGAACGTCACCCCCTGCAGTACATGCAGATTGCTGCCCCTTACGTTAATGAGTAGAAGTTCAGTACGGTAGAACTCCTACCATCCGAATCTTATCCGAATATCTTTCGGAAAGAGTTAAAACATATATTACCACAGTAGTACTGATAATAACCGTTGTTTAAGAAGGCGAAATTGAAAAAAAAACTCTCTAGTCGTTTTTTTTCATCGCCTCACGCGGTTATGTCGTCATTTTCCGTGATCGCGACAAAATCCTGAATACATCCCGCAGTCGTGTGGGTGTGATAATCGTCTCCATGTACCATATACGATGATCCTAAACACAAAAGTTCGAATCACCTGTTGTAGCTTTCCAGGCTTTGTCCTAAGTGGATTTTCACATTTCGGCTCTACAGCTATTATCAGATCGTCGTTCAAGAACTTTTCTTGACTGAAGAGATTTGTCAAAGGTTTGAAACAAAGCTACACCTAGCAGGCTGTGTCACTTAAAACCACCGACGGCTTTAACATAGTTTTTAAATAAGCCTATTTTCTTGCGACGCGTGCGCGGACAGGACGGTATCACACGTGAGTCAGAATTTTAACAAAAGGATTTATTAACTTTGGAAGGAATACATTTGCTTTTTCTGCAGACTATGGGTAAATACTTAGATGAGTTACATTGTACAATTTTCCAAAAGGTGTAGAAGTTACTTGCAGTTAAAGACTTTAACGCAGGTAGTAAGTTTAAAAAGAGCGTTAAAATGTTTCTGTTTAGCAAAATTGTACAGTGACCCTTTTCAATCAGCAATAAAAAGCCCTTTCGTGCTAGGAAAGTATTAAGCATTATATTTTCGTCTACTCCCTCGACTCAAACTCATCAAATAAAAAAATCTCGAAGGAATACTTCACTCGAAAAATAATCCCATTCGAAATCCTAGTGTGACAAGCCGACGAAAACGAAAGCACTAAAGAAACCGAAATTTCCGGTAACTTACGATTTGTGTGGCCTTGTTTTGATAAAGAAAGTGGTCGGTTTGACAGCAGCACATCGGCCTTGTGTTGGTCCACAGCTGGTTTCTCCGTCAGCTGGCCTCCGGGTGCACAGTTTCACCTGATCAGCTGATTGTAGACATCAGCTGTCTGCTGTTTGTTTCTGTGATTGTCAGCAATCTGATATAATGGTCGAGTTTCGTCTGTGGCTGCGTGCGCATCGACTTTTAATGGTATTCTGATTGGACTAAAATGGCAAAAAACAATCCAAACCGGTCCCTCCCAGCCGTGATGGTATCAGTGGCTGTTTGGTATTTGCACTGTTATTATTCGTGCCTTGATTTCTAAGTGTATACGATTATCTGAAATGACTACCTACTGTGGGACGGACGAATTATTAATCATCGATGCTAAGTATGTTTCAACGCCTACGGTTCGTGGTGTACAATGTATAGTGATCTAGTTCAATGGTATATTAACTAGTCAAATATACTACAGTACTTATTAATTAAAAAAGGACTACTGTTTGTAGAAATATAGTTGATGAGAGTTTTTGTGGGCTTACTACCATTTAAGATTAGAATAAGTATCAATTAATATAAATTTTGTATACAGTATTTAGATCACCACAACTAGTTATTTAATGATGAATCGTGTTAAATATTTGAGTTATAAATAAACTTGGAATGAAACGATGATTTATCCATCTAGGTCCCTCTGTGTACATAATGTAGAGAAACAAATTTAAAAGGTTGAGTAAACCGACCATTGCTTGGTGACTGAGCAGACGGTTTGTTCTCACGGATTTTAGCAATTTTGCAGGGTTCATTTACTTATAATTTTTTCAAACTTATTATTAGGAATAAATATGAACTATTGTATATCATTTTGTTCACCAAATTTAGAAGGATACTAATATATAATAATAATAACACTAACATGGCACAAAAAAAATGTCAGCATAGAAATCCTAAGTTGTTTACAAATAATTTTCATTTATGGAAGTTTTTATTTGTCACACCTTCGACCCACTTCACCAAGAAAAAGTTTTAATACAGCCAAACTTTAGGAAATACATTTTTTTTTTTCAAAAGCATACAATGTTTATGGTCCAATCCTAAAAATATTAACACTATGTACAAACAACTAACGTTGATCACAGGCAACAACACACAACTAACCTAAAGTAACCTACATTGCCGGTCTGCCAGCTGAATCTGAATACATCGCTTATCCACTGCTACTTAAACAATAAAAACTTTCGTCGCCAAATATACAAAGTGGTACTATAAGAAAGCTTATGATTTCTACTTAAAAATAGTGAAAAAATCATGCCGAAACTATTAAAATCATGCAATCGGTGAGCATTCAAGTGAACGCTTGCTAAATGCGTCGGAATTCCGACTTTGACAGTTCACAAATGGCGTAAATGCGTCGGAAAACCGACGTGAAACACTAACAAAGAGAGGGGTTAAGTCTTTTATCACGTTTCATTTTTTTAAATTTGTTGATGACAGGCAAATTTGTTGAGAGGCAGGTATCCTCCATTAAGTTTCTCCAATGAATTATCAGCATTAGACGGCAATTTGTATCAGCAACGGACATTTTAAAGTACAAAGATAATTTTGATACACAACCCCACTCCATATTTTGTTTATCTTGTTAAGTCACCCTCGGCCAAACTTGGGAAACAATAGTGAGTTAACTGATCTGTCTGTATATCTTGTATTCACTCATTACACTATCAGCTGGGTCATCTTTCCGCATTATGGTTGTACTCATTGTACTCAACAATACAGAAGGCCTTGGTCATTCAACAGTGGCCTTGCGGAATCTACTTTTCCATTTGGCGATGTTTTGGGTAATAACATTGACTTTTGGACACTTAATATTGTTGTATAAATAGTCAAAGGTAGTCAGTGCTTTCGATATAGAAAGTTAATGTTGGGGTCTATATTATTTACAACGTACGCCTATTTAATTTATGGTCGAATCAATTGACGTAGTTATCTCTAAATGAAAATATAAGCGATATCGTCATTCTATTAGAAGCTTGTATGCTTCTAATAGAATGACGATATCGCTTATATTTTAGTCAAGTGCATTATCCCAGTATCGCATTGATAAAACCTCACTAATAGTACATATCTTCAAGCCCATTTCTTTGAATCGTAAATTAATTATATCCATACGTATCATATCACCACTATGTAGTACCATTGACTATACACCTCTACTGAGTAGAGGTGTATAGTCAATGGTAGTGCTAACTTATTGTTGCATTGCTATTTTCGGTTTAGTTTTGCGTTGCTAATAAATTGTATATGTCTTTAAGACTTCCAAGAGGATTAAATGAAGGTAGGCCTAAATGTTTGGAAATTTCAAAATTATAATAACAAACAATATCAAACTACCTATTTCAGTGGCCGTTGTATAAATACACGCATACGTGACATGATTCCAAATCTTGACATAGATTACTTTTTTGTTTTGGTTATTTTATTTTCAAGTTACCTGTATTACTATAAAGATTTTCCCTGTGCAAATGAAGTTGATATAAACTCCATATCTAACCTCACCTGACCTATCTTACTTGCATAGGGAAAGTTTTATTAGGAGCTGATTCTATCAAAAATACTTATTGTTTGTCAAAACTTAAAACATATAGGTAAATATATAAAATGTACTTAAATTTTTTATAGCAAGTGATTAAACTAAATGTCCCCCTGAGACCCTACTGATATAAAAATCGTAATTATTTCCATCCTCTGTCTATAACTATGCATACATTTTATTCAAACTTTAAAACATCTGTCTCCTGTCAAATATCTTAGGATGTAAAGATGAATGAGTTAGTTATCCCCGGCCTCGCTAGACTGCGCTGTAGCCTGTTTCCGCCGGAACTACTGGAGCATGAACAATGACGATGGCGGTGGCAGTGGCGACGTTCACGTTCAGTCAGTGCCGGTGCGTCGACGTGATCAGTGTGGCCGTGGCAGTGCATTGTTGTTATCGATGACACCTGTTGTAGATCTATCATAACATTATTCTGTTCCGAATATAACGTGTACTCTGAGAATGTAGCGTAATTTGCGTTCACCGTTAGTGCGTAATGAGGTTATTTGCATGTGATTTTAATTAGGAAGAGAGTTCATTGTTGTTCCCGGTAGGTTTTGTACCAAGAGCTGTTTTAGTATGAGTTTTCTTTAGGTATAATAGGTGCTAAACAAAATTGGTTCTTCTAAATCTTCCAACATTATTCGCATCAGTTAGTGAGTACAGTTTGTGGTATGGATTAAATGTTAAGTCAATGGACAGTCATTTATTCCATCTACAATACTATATTGTGATTGATTTCGTAAAAAAATACATTAGTTTTGGCTTACAGTGTAGTTGGCAAGAGACTGTTGTCTCTTGCCAACTACACTGTAAGCCAAAACTAATGTATTTTTTTGAAATGCTTTTTTTTTATGTCATGTTTGAAATGCTATCATTTTAAAGTGTGACAATATCAATAAAACAAACGAATTGATTGCTTATCTAATGGTTGCAGTATTAACAATTAATTCATATTTATGGTTGAAAATATTAATACAAAAGTCTATTTTAATCGTAAATAAGTAATTTTAAAATTAAAACTCGTCAAAAGTAATTTTTACTTCCGAGTATTTTTTGGAAAGAGGGACTCCTTAGCAAAGAAGGTTCGTAAATAGTAAATCCATAATTCATAAAAATATTGTGTAAATAAATGTAAGTGTGAAAACAGTAGATTTGAGCCTAATCGTTATATTGAATTAATCATGTTTGTGTATAATAGTAGTGCTCGAAGTTTATTTGTTTTTATTTTACGAATCTTACAACTGTTAACCAAAACCAAAACTATCTACAGCATTTGTAAAATATTTCTATTATTATAAACAAACAGCTAGGCACATTTTGTAAAATACCCTAAATTAGTATAGGCGCACGCAATCTATTTCAACATCCTTTATGGAATACCCGAACATAAAACACATCCATGATCCATATATAGTTCAATAAGATTATAAGTCTGTTTACAATATCAACATCGCAATACCCTCTGAATAGTATTTCCCACACAATAATTTGTTCAATTAATACACAACACTCCGATTGCGTTTAGTTTTTACCTCCTGAGTCCTGAAGTACTCGATGCTTGTCCAATTACAATAGTACAAGACCAATTACCAATTACCTCAGATGTCTCTGGGGTAATACCAAGTCTCAATTAACGTAATTAATAAGTCACCTGATGGGAACATGTCGAGGTATCTCTTAATTACCTCAATTACCACATTTTCATGTGACTGGTACCAATAATGAGGTTCGGTATGGAAAACCGCAAGTCAGTTGGATTCGGTGGTTACACTTGGTGAAGTTATTTGCTAAACAAATCCAATGGGTGATCGGGAAATGTATTAGAGTGGGGGAAATCAAGTACTCGTGTTATCGATTAATCAATCGATTGTTGACTTTACATCTTCAACTCAATGAGTGAGTCGTTAAGGTTAATGAGGTTTTAATGTTGATCAATGTTTTGTTTTGCGGAATGTTAACCTTCACGTTTTGGACCGAAATATATACACCGTGGATAATCATGCATTTTTAAAATACGGATTTTTGATAAAACTATTTTTCTTCAAGTACAACCACACAGCTTATAAAATTGTAAAATTAATTGGTACATTTATAATTATTCTCTCAGATATTGTCATTATACTGTAGTTAAAGCAATCTTTAGGCTCGAGTATGTACTAATAACATCAACAGTAGTAGTAATTAATGAGCCGTGATGTTTTAGTTGTGTTTTGAAGTTCCTATAATTAATGAGGTGAATTACAACCAAGCTAACATGTAATTAAACACATTTTGATAGGTTCCACATATACTATAGTCCTATCTCGTATTTTCATTGCTCACATTATACACCGCGTAGTAGATTTTTACTAATAATATTCATTCGAAATTTATTGTTCTTCAATGTTCATTATTAAGTCATATAATTTACATTAAAATATGTACCGGGGGACCTCGGTATAGTTTATTTCGATTGTAAAAGCAAAGGAAACTCGCGTTTCATTTACAACTAATTTTGGCTTTTATTATTTGAGTTCCAGTGGAATTTCAATTAATTATGATGGACATTATACCTGGCAATCCTCAACACATTTATTTTACAGTCCATAAAAGAGCACTAATTATAATAGCACTTTAATATGGCACTTTAGTACTTTACTTTTTTAGTTGTCTTGCTTAAACATTGATTTGACAGTTTGTTTGGTTAATTAAAATATGTAGCTGATTGAAATATTTTGTTTAAATTCTGGTTTACATAAAATAAATATAATATTATTAAATATTTATTTCACTAAACTACTCATACTTAATTTGTTCACGATTGTCTCAATAATTCGGGGATTAAGTTTTCGTAGGAGAGGGACAAGTAAAATAATCAGTATTTGATCAGAAGTATTTTCACCTCTATCGAGTAATCTTTAGTGTAATCTTTGCTCAATAATAGCAACTGATTTTCCCCCCTTGTACTGTATATTGTAATTTTCTAGTATACTGTGGATGCCTTATTATAAACACATGTTACAGGTATATTCTATTTTGTTTACCTTTTCCAAGATTCAAATGAGCAAATGTGTTGTGTAGTGAAATACGAGTTTTCCGGAGCGAGTGGCGGTCGTCAATCACGTTTTTAGGCCATAAATAAATTATTTTCAACATTATTATTGTCGAAGCCGTTTTTGAGATCTTTGAGCAAGCAAGTATACATACAAACGTACATCCATACACGCAAAGATTGCTCGTAAGAGTAGTTATAAGATAGGATTAGTCCCACTTTATTCACGATTGCCAGTAGATGATATTGCGTGAGTTGCTTATCATTATATTCACAAAATAATCTATGATACCTTGTAAAATTTATTTTAGAAGACAAATTTAAATAAAATCATTTAAGTGATTACTATCGTGTTATAGGACTAGCCTAACTGGCGTACCTCGGATAGATCATTCATCTAACTATAGGTCACATAATAATTCACGGTGGTCCTGACTCTTCTGTGACAAGCTGTGTTATCATCGTGACTCACATACGGATAAGTGATAAGTGACTTGTAAACATTCCCCCGCGCTTATCAGTGGATGACCTGTTATCAGTCTTATCAGTGATAGTGATCCCTAATTGTGACGTCAGCATGGTGTAATCACGAATTACTGCTTCGGTAAGTTACTCAATAATGTTATTGCATGGAGATTGTATGATAGTAGGCCTACTGTAGGGAAGTTACTGCAGAATATATTTTTTAAAGATAGTATAAGGTAGTTTACTTATATAGGTCCAAGTTATCGGCAAGTTATTATTGCAGTTTGTAAGAATCAACGTCCTGGTTTACGTAAGAAATGTACTAATATTATTGTACATAAAAAATATGTATAGCATGTTGTTAAACTCCTATCATTATAGGACACCTTGCAAGTACCAGACCCAGTTGACTTGTTGATAAAATTCGACAACTAAATTATCGATTGACGATCGATCATGAGTAGCACCGCGCGCAGCCAGGCCATGTTGGTGAATTTGATGACGAACAAACAAATAAATTATTGACTGACGCATACTTATGCAGCTTAATTAGTAGCCTACTTGCAGTGTTTTTAAACGATTAATCGATTGATATCTTACCGAAATTCCAAAGGTAGAAGGTCGTTTGAGTTGAAAATATAATAGGCCTACATAGCCTAGTACCTAGGACAAAAACCTAATACAGTATAGGCTACAGCCATGGATTAAGCATTAAGTTAAAGCCTAGTTTGTTAGTTGAGCTTCCCAAACTCAAAACGTCATTATAAACATTTGTAGAGCTACTTACTGTTTTTACATAAAAATTTCAAAAGTTTTCCACAAGGTGGATAATTTCAACTTCAATAAACTTGTGTCCATTTTGTTGGTTACATCCCAAATGCAAAACACTGTCCAGAACATTTTTTATAGACTTACAAATTATTTTTACAATGTTCTAATGCCATAAAAAATAAGTCAAAAGTCATTGAAGTTTTGAGTACAGTTATTTAGCTCCTCTGAACCAAAATACTACCTTAAACATTTTGTAGACTTACTAAACGTTAAAAATTGGAATTTAGATAGATTCCCACAAAGTTTGAGCTTTAAAAACACTATAAATCTTGAACATTTTTAGTACTTATAATTTACTCTGTATATTTTGTGCAAATTTTGAAAGTCTTCCACCAAGTTTGTATTTCCAACAGCGTTTTCCTCTGTAGTCATCACACACATGACCTCCCGCCTAATGTGGGAGCCTCGTAGCCTCCTGAACACTGAACATCCTCGGGTGTTCATTACAACTCAATTAGTCGAGGAATGTTCAATCTCACCGTGTTTTAGTATGGAGGAAGGAGGTGCCCTGTTGACCTCTTAGTAAATTGAATTTACCAGGAAAACGTATGAGTAAGAGCTGAAACGAAACTTTTTTTGTGTGCCGTATGTTACAAATTTTCCCTTAAGATTTTTACAAATAAATATTTTAGAAGTCCAAAGTATGGTTCTGAAACAATTAAATCAGGATTGCCGAGATATAGGATGAAATATAGTGTTAGGAAAGTGTAAGCGAGTTGAATGGAGCTTGAATGAAACTTGGAAGTGCCACTTATCAATTATGTAGGTGGAGTACCGATATGAATAGTCCCTATGATGAGTATTGGATATCCCAAGCAAATAAGAGAATATTGTTAGAGTTTCAATTGTGTTGCTCTTTTAGCAATTCAGCATTTTTCACGAAATTATGTTAACATTTTGAAAAATAGAATGCATTTTTTGAAATATTAATAGGCTATTAAGTGATCATATTCATTTGTATAATCTCGGATGCGATTGTGTGATTGACTAATTGGAAATAAAAACACACCACCTCTAGAACTTAAAGTAAAACGAATATCCTAGATTTGCAGTACCCTATCTACAGTAAAAGAATTCGTACAACCTTTATTCTAAAGTTTGGTAAACGAAATCCAACAAACAGGCTATTCGTCCATCTAATAACAAAATATAGTGAAAAAGTCGCTAGCGTATTTTCCCATCACAAATACATTACCCACATTCTCCCGGAGTTTTCAAACTGAAAATTGATGAAACCGGCGAATCCTGATGGAGCTTCCAGCGTGTTTGTCGACCGAGGTGAGAGCGCGACGCTCTATTGACAGGAAAGTGGGAGAAATCGGAGGATCGTGTGATTGTCGTTGATGGTGACAAGTACATTACACCTTCAGTGACCAGACACCACAGCCGATACCTCGGACACCACGGGATACCAGCAAATTGTTGGTTAAGTCATCCATTTGCACTTTTACAAGGATGCAGTTTGACCATTCGGCCGTGTTCTTTCTGTACGATTCTTCGTGTGGTCAGAGATTATTGAATGGGGTTTTACTCTTTTGTGACTGTTGCAGGGTTATATCCATTTATGACTTTCTACGATAGTTGCAACAATTCGGTTTTGTTCTTTCTGAAAGGCCGCAGTTCTGTTGAAGTGTTTCTCTATTCCTTCCCTTTTTTCATCGACTGTTGTAGATTTAGTCTTCCAATCGTTCCTTTGTACGCTATGCAGTTTAGTCATTCGATTTTGGTCCTTTCTGTATAATAGTGTGGTTGATGATTGGCGAAGTTTTCCGCCATAGTAGTACTGTACGGACCAAACGTAGCTAAATAAATGAAGTTCTAATAAATCTAAGACGTGTTGAGGATTATGTTTTTCTTTGAAGTTGTTTGGTGACTCCTTAACATTTCTCTCAAAAGTGCCACTAATATTTACTGTAAAACCTTAAACAAATCAAGCTTTTACCACAGACAACAGAAACCATTTGAGTATTATATTGGCTGTGCTTTTACCATTCAGATTGATCTGTTGCACGTTTTTTGTCTCTTGGCGCAATAATTTGCTTTTTACGTTCGACACGTACAAAATAAGTATTGAAATCTTTGGTTGATACAGTAGTGAATACTTTTACTGTTGTGGTTTCGGTCTTATTTTGTCCCTGAAACTTAAGATAAAAACATCATTGTGTTTTTTGCCATACTATTTTCAATCCCAATAAATTATATTTTATCTTATATATTTCGATAACCATTGTTCCTTTTTTGTGTTATCCTTGGAGTAGGGGTAGGGAGCCTAAACTGACAAACAATTTTCATTAAAAAACCCTTATATCAAAGAAAACACTAGTGTCATGTGAACACGTACAAGAAATTTATAATTAGATAATTTGTTTGTAATCGTACTAAAAACCTAACTGGATTTTAATCCATACACAGACCTTATCGGATATTGTAAGCGCATGAGAAACAGTCCAAGGACTAAGGATCCATCGCATCATTAATTATCAGTTACAGCGTGTTTCACAAGAATGTCGACACATGTACGTCCCCCGCGTACACGTACACTGTACACAAAGTGTACATTATTGTGTACAATCCCAAGGCTGATGCCTTCCCACATTAACGTTGCGACAAGATCTCATTACAATATTGGGTCTAGAGTACCGTGAGAACATGGCCGAAGCTGATTGGTTAAATTATCTGGTTGTTTGGTTGCGAAATTAGAGGCGATGATAACGGTTCCGGGCTGCAATCATTTGATAACTCTAAATTTAAAATTTAATATTGCTTGCACGGTGTAAAGGGATTTGCAAAAATTCGCCACGAGGCACGAAGTTAGCCAAACTGGAAAATTTAACGAACATAAATTTATGAAGTGAAGTATTAAATCCAACCCATTTCAATAATGATCATTGCAAGCAATCGGTGAAAAAAATCAGACTCACTCTAAATCTATCTTGATCAATGAAAGAAATATACAAACCAAACATTTTATGTCACTGTATCTAATACGTAAATGATTAAGTAATTGTTATTACCAGGGAGAGACCTAAATTTACACTTGTGTTTGCAGTTAGTTGGGCTTTGGCTCACATAAAATAAATTTACCTTTCAATTACTTCAATAATTAATCCATTGATATAAATCTTCCTCGAAATAAACGTAACAAACTTTACGTTAATGCAAAGGGAGAATCTAACAATAAGTGCACGCTAAACGAATACACAATACAAGGTAATAACTGTTTACAAAAGCACTAACAAGTAGTTAACAGTTTAACAGTCAGTGGTCTGCTCAGTGCTGTAGTGTTGTAGTGCTATATACCAGACAAGTCTACAACCTCACGCCTTTTATGGAGTAGGTTTATGACACAGTTGTCTGGTCAGGGCTTGTGAGAAGATTTCACACGTCCAGTGTAGCTTCTGTTCAAGGAACGGTGGCTTAGGTTGATCTTTATGTCTCATTGGGATGGATAAAGGTTGAGAATAAGGCAGTTATTCGGTCTTAAAAATGTTGTTACTATAGCTGGGAAAATGTAGCCTACTAAACAATACAAGTTAGCGAGTAGGTACGTGTTGTGTTTCACTATTGGTTTTCCGTCCTGAAAGGAAAACTAAAAACGTCTACGAAACGTCGTCATTGGAATACAACTCGATAAAACGTCAAAAATAATTAGCAGAGTTTTTCAATTTTTAAATTTAAAAGCGATTCATGCGATGTACATAGTATTGTGTGTAACAAACTGTTTCAAGGACTAACTGATTGACTTGTTATTTCAACTGTACCTGAACATGATATATGAACATCAATTACAGTAACAATAATTGGGATTGGGTTACAGTATACTCTAATACTCTTGACGTTATGTTTTCAATTTTGAAATCTCACTAGATCAGATCCTTTGTTACTTCTCTAGTATGTATCCTACACTATACAGTACTCTTGTTTACAAAATTTGGGCGGTAATTTTATCCCTTCAACCTCACCCTAACTTTGAAACAGCTGGCGGCTGATCAGCTGATATAATACAGCTAAAGAAAGTGGCGATGAAATCCAGGAAACATTTCCCGTAAGCCGCCTAATTTTTTTGAACGGACAATAGGTGCAAAATATCATAAGCTATTAAATAGTATATTTCGTACCTAGGGCCGAAAATGAGGTTTTGCCGGCTCGAGATAGTTTTTAAGTTCGAGACGAAGTCGAGAACTTAAATCGATCGAGAGCTATAAAACCATTTCGGTCCGTGGTGCGAACGCTATTTTTCACCACACTATACCCTATTACCACTATTCACCACTATAATAATGCACACTGATCGTCAACAAAACTACA